CAGTCCAGAAATATGCAGTTCTAGGCCTCTGGTAGAGGACCCGAGCTCAGAGGATGAAAAACGAGACCACCCGCGGAGGGTGAGAAGGGAATTTTTATATATTGTAACCTCATCGAGGTTGCCAATATATATATATTTCACCAAGAAACCATGTCTTATAAGACCATTTTTACAGAGTGCAAATTGATACACCACATGAGGATATAAAACTCTTACTAAACAACACAATATGTTTTTCTACTTTTGAACGTTTTTTTCTTTTTACATTTCACAAATGGTTTTGTTAATAAAGTACAAAACAATATGTAACCATGATATTTACAGTGTGGTTAACTAAAACTAGCCATAATGGACACTTTAACTATGTTGACAGTTTATTAACAGACCTGTCCGGCGGATGAACACTTGGAGGCATATTTGTGCATATAAAACTGTGCAGTCAGTCAGCACTACATTCAACCAACACGCCATGTGTGGAGTTTTTGTCAGCTGGTGAATCTGATCTGTACTGAAAAGAACCTTAACACTCTTTCAACATTTATCACATCACACACACCTCAGTTATTTTCCCTAAAAACCTGCTGCTTACATGAGAAAACAGATTCATCAATGTTTCAGTTCAAAACTGCATTTAATCACACTTGTGCAAGTTTGTGAATAAGTTTATTCTTTATATCTCCAGCTTATTTTGTAACACCTCGATCTGGTGAAGGCGGGTATTGAAGGAGGGGTTCGGATATTTTGGGATTTGGATATTGACTTTTATTTTTATAGAGTTCAGGTCATATTTTTCTGAAATTGGTTCATCTATGTTCAGTTTAGCTGGCAAAACACAAAATCTTCAATGTATTCCTACGGTGGAAGCACACACTTTTATTAAACTCATTATTTTATTGGGCCTTTAAAAGGAAAAGAGTTCCTCTGTATACATTTAAATCTGTATGTCATTGTGCTTCAAACCACATTTGTGTTAGAGGAACCAGTTTTCAGGATCTGCAGTGTAAGAATCAGTTTGACTGATTTCCTGAGCCAGGGATAAAACAGGGCGTAGATCAGAGGGTTCAGGGTGGAATTAAAATAAAACACTAGGAAAGCCACGGATGAAGCACTGACCCCAGCATCATCAGCCAAGAGTGCGACACAGTAATATGGGCAGGTGCATATCAGAAACACGACTACGACAACCCCAAGGATAACAGCTGCCTTGATTTCAGACTTTTTAGCTGAGACGCTCACAGAGACCGCTGCGATGTGAGACTGCATGGCTCGAGCCTGAGACACAACCACCACAAAGACTCTGACATACAGAATGACGATCACGGCGACAGGACCAACGAAGGACAGCAGAAGGTCAAGGATCCCTCCAACATAATCAACACTAACTACACACTCTCCAGAGCAGGAGTTGTACCTGCCTGGTTTTTGCAGGTTACTTCTCAGCAGGAAGCTGTGGAACAGAACAGAAGAAATCCAACAAATGACAGCACAAATTTTTGCTCTCTCTGCTGTGACTTTACTGGGGTAGTGCAGAGGGTGACAGATGGCCACGTAACGGTCGACAGAAATAAGCACCATGGTTCCCACTGAGGCGGATGTAATTGCATAGTCTGAAACAAAGTAAATGGCACACATGATGTCTCCAAGATACCAGCAGCCATCTATCAGCTCTATCTGGAATGAAATGAGGAATCCCACCAGGCAGTCTGAGACAGCCAGAGAGAGCAGCAGGATGTTGGTGGGGCTGTGGAGCCTCCTGCAGAAATGAGAAAACAACACATGTATATTAGTAACAGCTGACATTTACAGAGAAGTTTGTTACATGTTAATATTTATATAATTCAGTTTCTTTTTAATTACTTAAAGTGGCAGACAGAAATGATGACCAGTAAGTTTAAAATCACAGTAAGAAGAGCGATCAAGGATAGCGCAACATAAATAAGCATGGACAGAGAGGGAGGACGCGCGGTCTTCCTGCAGGATGAGTTGAGGTGTGGATAGCACAGTTCATTTTCTTCAACAGATTGCATTTTCCAAAAATACAAAGGGAGATGAGGAGCCGCTCAACTCTGCCAGCTTTCTATCAGAAACTACTTTAAATGTCTCTAGTCCTGCAGTGATATGGAGGCTGGACCTGAATATTTAGTCTTTGCCCAATGGGAGGGGTTATCAAATGTCAATTAAGCAAACGATTCTGATTTCTTTATTTCGTAGCATTTTATATTGTCTTTTTCAGACTGTAGTCTCGCAAGACCCCATTATGGAGGTAAAAGGACAAGATCTCAAGGAAGATTGATAAGAGGAATTAAAAATTAAACAGAATTTTTCAGAAAGTTAAAAGCTTGGAAGTGAACATTTGGCTTTGTGAAACAGCTGATTGAGATGTTATTTAATGTTTTTTTTTTTTTTATTAGAACGCAAGCAGACATATCCAATCCCGACCTTACACTCTTGATCTTGTACTGACAGTTGATTGTGTCACTTTTCTTTTTCTAAGTACATGAACCCTCAGAGAAAATTTTATTCTAGTAGATCATTAACAGAATCTGTTCCATTTTTGGTTTCCTCGATATCACAGAGCAAAAAGACATTCTTGTGCCTGATAGTAGTGCTTCATTTTGTGTTAAACAAAGCCTCTAGCACATATATCAAATCTATTCTATTCTGTCACATAGAATAGATTTGATTACACGTGTTCTCAACAGACTGATGGTGTAATGGCAGTTCTGGGGTTTCTAATAGTAGAATGAGAGGCATCCCTACATCCAGTGGGTGGTGCAGGTTGCTACAATCGATAGTCGCCACACAGGCACATCCGCTAGAGGGAAACACACTGAGTACAACACTTTCATTCTATTGGTTGAGAGGTTGCCAGGCGACTGTGCCAAAAGGCAGTTCCATGTTTCCTAAGCGAGCAGAGACTAAGTCTGAGCGCAAGGAGAAAGTTTGAGTACAATCATTGCAAGTTTTGAGAAGAAAGACATGACATACTGCTTTCAAAATGAAAATGTAAGCAAAAGTATTAAAAATTTTGAGAACAAAACACCCGTAATCCTGCTCTCAGACTGAAAATGTGCTCTTGGATTATGGCATAAAAATTCCCCCGTAGTTATTGTTCCTTTTAATATAAGAAATAGAAGGCAAACTTGCAAAGGAACAAACCTGGGAATGAACAGGGAGATGATGGTGGGTGTAATGGAGCACAAAGGAAGGAGTCAGTGGTGAATAATAAGTTCAGCTGGATCAGAGTTTTTCAGCCCTGGTCCTCCTGCCCTGCATGTTTTAGCCATTCTCCTGCTTCAGCAGACATGATTTCAAATGATGGCGGATTTACAGGATTTTGCTGAATTGCAGTCATCTGAATGGGCTGTGTTCAAAACACAACAGAAACAACAAATAAAATGAAGTATGAAGTCTCTGTAAACAAAATTATCTTTCAAACGGGACAGTTGAGACCAAAATACCAGGCTTGACTTTTATCATTCAGTTTTTGGTAAAAAGAGAGAGAAACGAGAAAAACGAGAAATGAAGCAAATTAAAATTAAAATGAGTCTCTTTTAATTTATCATGCGATTAATTGATTTATAGTTCATTGTGACAGGTGATCCCGAAAACTCACAGGGAGAGATTAAGAGGGAGTAGTTTACTATTTGAATCAGACCAGATGCAAAGTTTCTTCACCCTCCGGCGGTCCCAGGAGAGGTGGAATGGACCCTGTGTGAGCTTTAACTAATTTGTTTCACTTTCTTTGTATGTGTGAATCATGTAGGTTTTTGCTAGTTGCCTCGTTTGGAAAATTTAAATAAAAATTGATGTGTTCAATATATATTTTTTATCACTTTATGAGTGACTGAATGTATACATGTCAGCTCCAATTGTAAATGAATGTCTTCAAAGTCTTGATGCAGTGAGAAGTTTCTACAGGTTAGTCAAATTGGGTGAAACAAATCCTTCCAGAGGTGAACTCAATTACTGCGAACTCATTTCTTTTAAATGAACAACATCAAGACTAGGTCAGCTCCCAATAACAGCAGCACTGGAGCCATCTGCTGGGGAACCGTCCTGTGTGTGTGTGGTGAGGAGACCCCATGGGTCCGCTCAGCAGGCTCACCCTCCATCCACTCCGGCACTTCAGAGGATGATAAAGACAGAGCGCCAGCCAGAAGCTTGGCATAGCTTTCCTCCCGTCTGTGATCATGCGACGCCTCGAGGAGGCTGAACTCTGCTTCCCACAGCTCCTCAACTCCTCCTGCAGGAAGATCGCGCTTCCTCATTCAACCTCAACGCTCATGTACTGCTTACTATCCTGTGTGTCTTCGCTCACTGTGACCCTTAACCTGCTGGTCATCATCTCTATCTCCCACTTCAAGTAATTAGATGTTTGAACAGTATAGAAAGTCGTGAGAGGTTGTTTTCTTTGCTGAATAATGTTTCTTCTTTGAATGTTGACGTTGTTGTTCTCCTCCAGGCAGCTCCACACGCCCACCAACATCCTCCTCCTCTCCTTGGCTGTCTCAGATTTCTTGGTGGGTTTCCTCATTGTCTTTCAGATCCTTCTCATTGACGGCTGCTGGTATCTTGGCGACTTCATGTGTGTTCTGTATTACGTCGTTGATTATGTTATCACGTCTGCATCAGTAGAGAACATGGTGCTCATATCAGTGGACTGCTATGTAGCTGTTTGTAACCCTTTCCAGTATCCCACCACAGTCACACAGAAAAGAGTGTGTGTGTGCGTTTCGTTGTGCTGGATGTTTTCTGCCGTCTGTGTCTTTATAGTTTTCAAAGAAAATCTGGGACAGCCAGGCAGGTTTAATTCATGCGTTGGGGAGTGCGTGGTTGGATTTGATGAAGCTGCTGGAATAATAGACGTCTTGTTTTTCTTCATCGGCCCCGTCACCATCATCATCATCCTGTACGTGAGAGTGTTTGTGGTGGCCGTGTCTCAGGCTCGGGCCATGCGCGCTCGTGTTGCAGCCGTCTCCCTCCAGGGTTCAGTCAGAGGTAACGTTAAGAGGTCTGAACTCAAATCAGCCAGGACGCTTGGGGTTGTTGCAGCTGCTTTTCTGATATGCATATGTCCATACTTTTTCCTCTCAGTTACCGGTGGGGAGACCCAGTTTAGCGCTTCATCCTTTGCTTTTTTTCTGTTTTATCTTAACTCCTGTTTAAACCCATTGATCTATGTCTTATTCTTTCCCTGGTTTAGGAAAACTATTAAACTAATTTTCACCCTGCAGATACTGAAGGCCGGATCCTCTCAGGCCAACATCATGTAGAGAGTGAGGTTACAGACTTACCACCTGGACATGTTCTGATCTGTTGATGCATTTCCCCGCTGGTCATTGTCATCTCCATTCCCTCGTTTCGATATTCCAAATTCAATGTATAATTAATTTATGAATCATTCAACTCCAACTAGCCACAATTTGACCATACATTTTCAACATAATTTCTTAAGCGAGTCCTCAAACTTGAATTTCTTTTTTTATCTGTATATTTTAACCATCACAGTCATTGCAGGACCTTGTTTCCTTTACCTTTAAGTAATCCATCCTGGATTTGTTGTGTGGCTATCAATTTATCTGTGGTTCATATCGAAGCCATACGCTCACATCAAAGTTGATTGTCTTCAGCTGTCTCTTGTTTCCTTTTGATTACTCTCTGGTGTAACTAACCCCCACCTGTGTCTGTGTTTGTCAAAAGTCGTGTCTGTTGTCAGTCACAAGCCAGTTGCTACCAGCATTTGAGCTCCTTGCCTCTGCTCACCTGTGCTGCCTGGAATTGTGTATCTTGTCATTTCATCATTAAATCGTCATTTCTCTCACTTCAACCTGGGTCCACCGCGTCTACCTCACCACCTCAACCACCACTAATCATGACAGACTCAGGTTGCCTTTGTCCAAAACGAAAGTAGTGTGTATTTAAACTTTAGCTTTTAAATATCTCTCCAGTCATAACATTTCTCCATCCTGGAAAAAAAGAAAAAGCGATGTATACAAATAAGGAGATGTATGCATATGAGTGTAGAGTATGTAAACATCTAAACACATAAATGGTGTTCCAAAATGAACACAACTTGAGCTAACACATGTTCAAACCCTGCAGTGCATCTTATCCCATTACTATCATATTAAAGGTTTAGTTGGGGGTCATCAATCTGATGACGGATTTAAAAATCAAATGCATCTAAAATGTAAAATAACACAAAAGCAGAGAGAAGTAGCTTGATACACACACACACACACACACACACACACACACACACACACACACACGCGCAGACAGAACCTGAGAACTGCCTTGTTGTGAAAATGAAGGTAGTGCATGTTTGTCTGACATGTTTCCTAATGTTTGGTTTTGTTATGATTGCAAGCTTTCTTGATGTTGTGCATGAACGATTTGACCACACCTGAACTGTTCATCAGGTTTTCTTTGTCGGGTAAAAATGATCATAGACAGTAAGTCTGTCCACCACATTCCTGCCCTGCAGCATTCCAGACTGCATGTCTCATAAATTATGCTCAAGGCTTTGATGTTCCTGTTCTATGGAGCAAAATACATCAGCATTATTAACGCTATACCATATGACGAAATATCAGAACAAGTCTGCCCAAAAGTGGTTTTTATAAGGTAGCAGTCCTCATAAGATCACACATCTTATGAGGACTGCTACCAGCTGATTGTCAGAGTTCTGGGTCCGCCGCTGTAAACCCGTTCTGTTCTCGTCATCAGCAGAATTCAAGCGGAGCTTTCTGCTAATCCAGCTGACAGTACACAACCATCAGACCTGCGCACACAAAGAGGCATTATGAAACTTGACACCCAACATTGTCCCAGCGTAATCCTTTCCCCCAACTAAAAGTCTCTCTTAATTGCAGAGCGTTTTTGAAAGTGGAGCGTCTCCTGCCAAGAGCCAGTTTGAGAAAACAAAAAGCTCGGAGAAGAAAGAAAGGGAAGTCTGCAGCTGGTCTGCAGCAGGTATATACAGCAGGCAGAGCGTTGTGTGTCCTCCACACCGCAGGGCTGGGGTCGGAGGTCAGGCCCTGTCGATCCACAGACACTGAGCTGGTCAACTTTCCTGCCACAAGGTGAGAAACAGAGAAAAAAAAACATTTGTCTCAAATTGTATCCAGATGTTTTTATTAGTTATTTATTTTACTGTGTTTGTTCCTACTAACATAAATCTTCTTCAGCCTGATTGTGTTCAATTATTCAATTAAACAACAATGAGCTAAATTTGGGCTGGTTCTATGACATCACCCCAAAGCAGCTGAATTCAAAGTGAAATATTTTCTGTCCATTTATAATATTGAAAGATGCTTTTTTCCCTCCATCTCCTCAGCTTTTGTTACCTGATTTTTCTTTATTTCATATTTATTTATCTAACTTTTTTTTAACCATAAACACACCTACATTAAAGTGAATGCACACACAGGGATTAAAACCAGGCCGACAGAACCTGAACACAAATGCTACCTTGGACTTTTGAAGTATTTGTTTTAGAAAATAAATGAGAACCACATAGAATTTTCCTTTCACTTCAAAATGACAGAAAACACAAAATACATATACTGAGCTTATTGGGCGTAAAGTGACAACTGTAAAAAAGTTCAAGCTATTTAAAATACTTTCGTTAAAAAAAAAATAAAATCATGTCAGCATGGTACACAGAATAGTTTGAGTGAGAGCCAACAGATTTACTTCATTACGTGTTTCGCTGTCATGCTCCGTTTGACATATAAAACTTTATTAGAAACTGCCTTTGGTTCATATTAAATATAATGGAATTTAAAAATAGTGAACAAACTTTGGATGACATGTAATTTCCAGGTGTGTTTGCTGTGATTTGTTTCAGATCCACAGACATGTTGTGCTTTAAGCTCTGCCTGATTGGATTCAGCATGCTGACGGGTAAGAAGGCCCAACTTCCTACATGTGGTGTCTATTTTAGATTTACAGTAAAAAAAAAAAAGAATAACTTGCAATATGCAATTTTGTTTTATTCAATCCATGAATAAAACAAAAAGAATAAATAAATATATTTTTTGTACTTAGAACATGAATATTTTCCCTCTGGGATGGATAAACTATTTTGAATGACATGTTCAAAAGGTTTTTGTCTGCATTATTAGCTGCAGCTGGAAGTCACCAGGCTTTTACCAGCTCTGCAGAGATGAACATCTCATCTTGCCCCATCACCTACTACGGTCAGAAATATGAGAAAGTATATGTGAGTAATGCTTCTTTTGATATTTCCCACATATTGTTGCTCATTCCATGACATCAACCAGCCAGGACTATTTTAAACCCCGTCAATATCATTTCATTCAATCAGAATAAAAAGCTTTTATAACAATTGAAATGTTTTTTGTTAAAGAACCCACGGAGTGGCAGAAGCTAGCAAACTAGTCTAAGCTTTTGATTTGATAGTTCAGCACATTGTGCATCACTTTAAAGCAAGACACCAAACCTGGCGTTAATTTGTGTGAATGTACTTCCCAAACATTTACAGCATGCTTGTTTGCACACAAAAATAAAATCACAGATTTTAGGTTACTGCGAGTCTCGTGTGACATAAAGAAACAACTCAAGATAAACGTAAATGCTTCAACTAACCAACATTTGTATGCAGTGAAATCATGTGTGACATTTTTCTTATTTCAAGAAACCTCCTGAAATATTCAATACAGTATTAACTACTGAAAATGTGCTGAATTTATAATCCACACACTTCCATTTTAAAGATTATCTATGAGTGCACGAGGATTAGGACCACCGGAAAAAAATAAAAAAATAAAATAAAAACATCGGACTTTTTTCTCAGAATTCTAACTCCAATACGTTTATCATAATCAATCATTTTAGTAGAGTTTTACACTCATCGTTTCTCCTCCTGCTGGACAGGTGGGCTTCGAGGCAGACAGATTTGCAGTTTGCTTTAAGGGTTTATACCAACCTGGCATCCAAAATGACTGCATTCTGATGTCCGGTGGAACGGCCGACAGGGGCGGCCTGTCTGTGCTCAGCAGAGAAATACCAACTGGATCCGGAGTTCACAAGCTTCTGCCAAACCTGAAATATGCTGGGAAATGTGTGAATGTAATCCCACTGACGGACAGTCAGCAGTCTCAGGTGAGTATGTCACTGCCAGGTGTAAGCTTTAGATCAAGACGCTCTGTTAAAGCAATTCTCTTCAGCTAAATGTGTGTTGCCAGGTTGAACAGGTGGAACTGGGAAACTTTGGGGCACAATCAATCCTGGCAATCAAGACATATTCTGGATACACCGATGTTAACGTGGTACGTTGGTGTTCTTACGCAGCGAAAATCAGAAAACCGGACACGTTAAGATATGAGTTTATCAGTAAAATATCAATATTAATTCCTGATTTTCCTGAATGTCTTTTGTTTATTCAAAATAAGCTGTTTTATTAGAACAGAGAGAACTCGGAGGCCAACCTGCAGACGGTTTGGTCTTGTTCACACACTTTTCTGGTATTTTGCAGGTGGCTGATGCTCAGGTTAACGGACTCACCGTTTCCAAACAGACTTTCCAGACCTCTGAAACAAACAGCGGCGTTATTACTGACGTGAGCGGATGCCGATTTTCAGGTTAGGTACAAAACATCAAAGAAAAAAAAAAAACAGAATTGCAGGATTTTAAAATGATTACTTTTTAAATTTTATTCTTATATCCAGGACTGGCCTATGAGACCAACACAACGGTGAATGACCCAAGAATCTGTTGTACGGTAACCTGTGACGTTAGCGGAGCTGCAACAGCTGTCAGCCACTGTGGCCCCATGGAGCATTGCCAGGGGGACGGCAGGTAAACATCCATAGAAAAGGAAATACAACTCAAATGGATCTTTTGGAATACATTCAAAACCAGATATTTACCTGCAGTAAAGCCCTGAATTGTTCACACTCCTGGTATCTTAGATGTTACATTATTTTATTTTAAATTATTTTGTTTCTGATGAGAAATGAGATTGAAAGATTGTAGAAAAATGTAGGTAAATAGTGTGAAATTTTTATAAATGTTGCACATTTCACAGATAAAAAAAAAATAGAAAAGTGCGGTAACACTTTATTTGAAGGGGTGTCATGAACATGACATGTCTGTCATGTTCATGACAGACATGTTCATGTCTGTCATGAACATAAAAGTATGAACTGAGCATTATTTGGTTAATAATTACATTTTTATGCAAAGTTGCATTAAACCTTGCATTAAAAGTCAATTAAAAGAGCCAACTTTGCATTAAAAGTGTCATTTTTTACCGAACGACACTTCATGACAACAGTCATAAACATTCATGAAAACTCCTTCATATTCATAACAGGTGTTATGTTTATGACAGTGTAATGACAGACTTATGCACAACCCTTCAAATAAATGGTTACCAAAAGTGACTTATGATAAAAAAAAAGAAAAAAAAAAAAAGAAATCAACAATGCAACATAAAAACAATGAAATAAAAAGCAACCGGATTCAGATACTTCTGCCAGGGGTTTTTAGACATTTCTTTGAACAGTATGTAGATTTAACATCATGCATTTATGAACTTTTTCACTGAGCCTTTCCTTGAGTCTTTGCCTGCGGTAGAATCAGACATATGAGGAAAAACTCTGACCTTGATGGTTATCTGTCTCTTCTCGTTCCCTCCAGCTGTGCCATGAACGCTGTGTGTTCTGTGACCGGCTCCACTGTCATAGGCTTCACTAGCAGACCTCAGTCTGTCCCTGACCGCTGTGGCTACTCTCTGCTGAGGTCCTCGTCTCTCCCAGGCCTCCATGTGCTGGGAGTTTTTAAGGAAAGACGACGTAAAGATCTGAGTTTTCTGGACCGCGTCGTCCTACAGCTGGACAGGGAAGGTGCTCAGATTTCCTTAGAGCAAGGCAGCAAAGTTAAGGTGAGCAACGAGGAAATTCCTTTGTTTTCTGTCTGTATGTTTTTGTAATAGGCCATGTGTAGCATATTCGGGAAGCACACATATATTGTAAAGAAGTGCCGCTATATTTAAACGATGAAAAAGAGGCAATTTTTTCAAAGATGCTAGTATTAAAGGGTTTTTTTTATTAATATGCATGGGCTTGTCTTCCTGTAACATCTTGAGATCTTTGAAAAAAAATCACATAGAGAAACTTGAGCAGTTAATAAAAAGACAAACTTTCAAATCTTTCAAGTTTTCCCGCATTTCTAGGGAATTTTTTTTTTTTTTGGAAAACTGTTCCTTCTTTATTTGGATGCTGTGCAGCTAGACTGATTTTTTTTTATGTTTTAATTGAATTTGAACTGAAAGACAGTTGGTATCTAAAAGAGCAAATAACTAAATGAGGGGATCTGTCCTCTCTCTCTGCTCCTCTCTCGTTGTTAAGGTAAATGATGACTTCCTGACCGTACATGCAACGCCCCAGATGGTCCACAGTGTGGCGCTCACCAAGAGCCACGCTGGTGTGACTGCGAAGTTGGAAGCCTCCAACTACACAGTGTCTGTTGTCTTTGATGGCCAAACTGCAATAATTCATCTAACAGGTAAAGCATCATGGCTGAAGGCTGATTTACTGATTTGTTTCTGTTCTGTTTTCATTCGTCAGAGAACAAACACCCAACAAAGCACAGAACATAAATCAGACTGAGCAGTGAATCAGAGAAACAATTGTTTGATTAAACACAAAAGAAAGAAACAAGTAGAATTAAATGTATGTAGAATAAATATATTTAAAATGTAAAATATAATAGTTTTTTTTTAAATATGGCATCTATGTAGCTGTTAAATTTGAATTATTGTATCCATATTAAAAGAATGCTTAAGAATTTAAAAAGAAAAACAGACAATAATTTTCTGTAAAAGTTAACCAGCAATAACCAGCTGACCATAAATCTTTAATCAAACAGAAAAAAAAAAAAAGTTGCAGAACCTGCATGTTTGACTGTTAATGTTAAATCTTTTGATTAAAGTTTTGTATGGAAAAGGTATTGAGTTATTCTCATAGTTGAGAAATCAGTTTTAAATTCTGTAAACAAATTCCTTACTTTGATGGTGTAAAATTACAACCAGTGCAGAATGGTGTGAAATAATCGAAGAGTACATTAAAAGCACCTTTTTAATCATTTAATACTTTTCAGAGGAAAGGCTTGGATGACTTGACACACGCTGAAGAGGTTTCATCAACCCAAACTAATTCTGCTTCCTTCTGCTGAGAAAGCGCTGATCATGATCTGACTGATGATTTCAGCATTAAAAACACAGAGTTCTCCTTTAAGCTGCTCTCATAACTCTCTCCTGCTCTCCAGGATCAAGTGAAGCTCCTGTGCAGGGTTTATGTGGCGATTCAAGCTCAGCTGTAAACGAGCAAAAATCGTCTGAATACAGCGACACAGAGTAAGGACTCATTCATAATATTTATAGGGATATTGGGGAAAGGGACACATTTCAGTCTGTTGAGCATGCAGGGTGGGATGCACACTGTGTTTTTACGGAGCGTTACAATGTGTGGCTCCTCAGCACTCAGCTTCATTCATCAGCTTTTGTTGTCTGACTTAATTATTGCACTGTAACCACTGTCTTCTAGTATGAAGGCAACAGCCTGATATGTATTTCTCTTCTGTTTGTTGCTCAAAAGCTGCGAGATGCAATATGATGATGATGCTGACAGCACAAGCAGCTGCAACACCACTGCAAAACGGTGAATATGGATTTCATGCAACCAAAGTTGTGTTTAATAAAATGACATTACTTTGAGTTAGCTCATCTCTTTAAGATGATTGCGCATTTCCCTTTTCTTTGAACCGCTGGACAAAGGTGTAATCTCCTGCAAGAAGGTTCCTTCACTGCATGTAACTCCTATGTTGACCCGGAGCCCTTCGTTCAGGCCTGCACTCAAACCCTGTGCAAATACCCTGCAGTAGATGACCTGACATGCCACTTTCTGAAGGGCTACGCTGAGGTCTGCAAATACAAAAGCAATGTAACAGTGCAGGACTGGAGATCACATACCAGTTGTGGTATGTGTTGTGAAAATGTTATGAAAATGCTGGAGATACTTTTTTTTTTTTTTGTTCTGTTTATTTTTTTATTTGCCTTGGTATGGGGACTTCTCACGATGTTTGATCTTAAAAATGCAAAACCAAGCTTACAGTCTAATAAACAGTTGAACCTTCCTTAGAATATTTTAGGAATTAACTTCTGCCAGCGTTTGCGAAACAGTTTGACCTGCATTTTCTTCATGCGCTTATGCGGCAGTTTAAAAAGGTTTTTCTGTTTTCTTCATGCTTGTGGGTCTGCAGCTGTTCCTCAGGCCACCTGTCAGGACATGTTCTGCGGTTCTCATGAGTTCTGTGCTGTGGACAGCTCAAGCGGTGAGGCCCGCTGTCATTGCAGGGCCCTTTTTGCATCCAAGTACAAACCAACAAACTCCTTTGGTAAGTCGGCTCTGAGGTATATCAACAAAAACCTTTCAAATCATTGTGCAAGTACAAAAGCAGTGTAACAGGAAATGTACTTTCTTACCAACAAAATGATTATTGTGTCCAGATGCAAAATCCTTTTGGTGGCAATCAGTGTGATTTTGGTCATACACACATAAACTCAAATTCAAAAACCCCATAACATAATGAAGTTCACCAGTCTGTAAACACATGGACATGTAATATCAGTTTTAAGAGTAATACAAATTTCAAGTAATATAAAATACAACATAAAAACCGAGGAAAAATCTTTTCAAAATCCCTTTAATGTCTCATTATTCAAAAATCTCAAATTTATGCTGAGGAGTAAATTAGGACATCATATTTAATCCAACTTAAAACGATTAATGTTTCATACAGGTGTAAAATTGAGGAGCACATGATGAGAAGATCATCATGCAGTTTGAAGGTTTGCCCTGTTTAAACCTCGCATGTTGTTATTATGCTGCCGACTGTTGACGGGAAGTGAACACCGGCAGATCCAAAGAGCTGTCTGAGGCCTTCAGAGAAGAAGAAAATTCTTGCAGCTTATGGTTATGATAAATGGTTTTTGAATATGTTCTGGTTTGGTGATGCTTGGCTGCAGCAGCTCAACACCAAACAGTCCACCATGAAGTCTACACTGTGCCAGGCAGTGCTTGAGAAAAAAAAGTGAGACCAGCTGAAAATAAAAAAAAAAAAAAAAACATAAAAAATGAAGTAAAGTTAAACTGAGATGGAGCTGGACTGTGTGTCATGATGAGAATGACCCAAAAGTTACCAATAAGACCAACAGAGGCTGACCTAAAATTGACAAATGGAAAGTCCTGGAATGAGTCAAAACCCAAATCTTGATATGATGGAGGCTGTGTGGAGTGACTTGAAACGGGCTGAATATATAAGAAATCTCTCAAATATCTCCCAGTTCAGAGTGAGTAGTTGGACAAACTTTCCCCAGACAGAGATCAGAGTCTGGTAAATGTCTACAAGAAGCATCTCACTATTTCAGCTAAAACGACCTGGTAGGAGGCAGAACATTTTCCTCACGATCCACATAGCATTAATATTAAACGTTTAAAGAGTAAAACACTGATAAGTCTTCATAATTAAAACACTCAGCCACTTTTTTTGGAGTAAAGGTTTTAGGGTCCTGAGTCAGTAGAATTTGAATCATTAGATCAATGTTTCATACCAGTGGATCTAATACTGTGCTGTATTACAGGAGCAGCGTGGTTTAGTGGGTGTGACTGTGTGAAGCATCTATGTAGGCACAGTGTCTTACATGCAGCAAGCAAAAGCCAAAGTACCATCAAACTGAAGCACCAGAAGCAGGAAAATATAAACTAAATAATCATGCAACAGGTGAAACCTCCTGAATATCACAGCACTAATATCAGGAGCTGCATTTCCATTACAAATGTGCACAAACATTGTCAGTGTTCTGCTAATGTAAAAAAAAAAAAAACAAAAAAAAAAACACACAAATTCACAATAATGTTTCCATTAAGAAAACCCGTTAAAATCACGCATGACTGAGTTTGTCACTTGATAAGTCATTAAAAAACACGTAGCAAACACCATCCTTTAACTACTTCCTGTGTCGTCTTCTTTGTGGTTTGCACCTGTGGCAACATCTGGTTTTTGACCACTAGTGCAATGCAAAGAAAAGTATTTCCAGTTTGCAGTTTTGCAAACTTAATCAATTTCAGTGCTGCCAAAAATCCCACCAAAGCTTTTTATCAAAAATTGAGTTGTAATCATAAATCGCTGTATTTCCTTTGAACGGATATATTTTAAAATGTCAGATGGCGCCCGTTCAGGTTGTCTCATCTCTTGGTCTTTCCCGTGTAACTCTGACACTTCCAGAAGGTTAAAGAGGTTGACTAATCTGAAGTACTCATTGTTGTTGTGATGTTCAGGTGAGCCGATTGTCTGTGCAGACAAAGGTGCCACAGTGACTCTGGCTAACTGCCTGCTGGAGGACAAAGGCATCGACTACTCTGTCTTACACCTCAACGACCAGTCCTGTAGAGGTCAGCTGGACAACTTGACCCACATGGTGACATTCAGTTTCAGCAGTCAGAATACCTGTGGTACAGTGGTCCAAGTAGGTATCATCTCAGGAAAGAAATGTTTATCAAATGCTTTAAAATTCAGAAATGCTGGAAGGAAATACAAAAATCTTGGTAGCACAGGATAAACAGGTTTTGCCTTTAAACTTTGAATAATAATGAATTACTAAATCCGTTTGGCAGCAAAATTGACCTAGTCGAAAATTACATCTGTTCAACTGTTCATCTGTGCAAATTTTTGGAAACTATTGATCTACATTAACTCTGCAAAAATTGATCCAGGTAAATGTCTTAGTAAAAATGACCTGGACATTTTGCCCACGTTGCAGGTTGGACCATCTATTCTGAGCATTCTCTCTGGTTTTACTTACTAAACTTACAAAACTTCTTTTTACATGTCTAAAATTGCTTGTTGTTTTTTTCTGACTCACCCACATTTATTTTTTTATCCAGTTATAATAAGTCAATGATAAATTGTTATATTTGACAACAGTTGAAGTGTTTTTTTTTTTAATCCAGTGTAAAAAAAAAGAAAAATTACAAATGTTGCACATTTTACTGATAATGCGATAACGTATATGCTAAATTTTGGCACTACCAGAGCTCCCTACAATGTCTTTTTGCCCTTGTGCATAAACTCAAATGCTTCCTGCTCAACTCAAATGTTTTGTATCTGTATATCTATATATATCTATGCTATTCTGAGGGGATTCAGACAGTAATGATAGATGTAGAGAAACTCATTAAGCCATAACTCACACTTTTGCATGCAGAACAATTTCTGGGTAACAATTAAATATTAAGGTCAAATTCAGACCTGTGGCCGGTTTATCCATTGTGTATTTTGATCTGAGTCTAAGGTTGAAAATATAAAAATCAATATATATATTTTTGTGTTTTTTGAATCCAGTTCAAAAATGAATAATAATAATTAAAAATAATAATATCACTTTGTAATTTTGTAGTTTGGGTTGTCAGTTGAAAACACAGCATTGATCTACAAATGAAGCAAATCACTTCAGACACTTTTGTCCTTGCCTTGCATAAATAAAATAGATGTAAAATGGCTCATTTGTTACAGGAAATACAAAGAGCAATTACAATATTTATGTTCCTGTGAACATGTAGGCAAACAACAGCCAAATCATCTACAAGAACGCCATCATGACTCAGAATATCTCCATGTTTGGACTGATCACCCGGCATGACAAGGTGCACATGGACTTCTCCTGCTATTACAGCCAGCCAGACGTGAAGACACTGAGCATCCGATTCAGACAGAGGTCTGTGCTGCATGTCTGACTCCAGGGGTCTCGCCCTGTGCTTTTCACTGAAAACAGAAGCCTTTAACTTGTGAGTTGTCTGAATTCCAGCTCTGTGATCCAGCACATTTCTTCTGGTGAATGGAAATACAATCTGACCATGGAGGCCTACACCAGCCGCGACCGCACAAAACCCATCGATTCTGACGCAGACATTGACCTGAACCAGAGACTCTGGGTGGAGCTGAAGACATACGGACTGGAGGAAGACAGGGTTGCTGTGGTGACGGACTCCTGCTGGGCAACGGATCGACCTTCGCCAGCTGGAGGCCTAAGATACAATCTCATTATCAACGGGTGAGACACACAGTGATGTTCACAGGACTAAACTGAATCAACGTTGATCCCACCCAACCCCTGACTTCTCGGTTCCCTGTTTGTCGAGCAGCTGTCCTAATCCCAAAGACCCAACAGTGGCGGTGGAAGGAAATGGGCTGGGAACATCCACCGTTTTTTCTTTCAACACTTTCCAGTTTACTGGCAGTAATGGTAATGTTTTCTTGCACTGCAAAGTAGAGCTGTGTGTCAGGCAAGGGGACAACTGCATCCAGGTAAGCTTTGTACATAAATAGACTTCATAACATACATTCTCGTCGATGCAGATGCTGTTTTTAGTTTTAGTTAGATGCTGGATATTAAACGTCTGATGCCAATCTTAAATCCATCTTTTATTTAGAGGTGCGCTCAGACCGCGAGAGGCCGCAGATCTGCCCGGCCAAAATATGAGACCGTAAACCTCGCCTTCATCTCAGTGGCCTGGACTTATTAGGTAAGGGAATCCCTAACTTAGCCTTTTCTCACATTTAACCAAAGCGGATCAGTCCAAGTCTACTTATTATAAACGCAGATAACAGAAATTAAACTGATTTTATCACTGATACAGTTCTTAAACGTGACAAGACAAAAGCGCTAGGCATAAAATTACTGATAGGACATGTCACTCAGAAAAGGAATAAGTAAAAAATATATATTTATGGTCGGGGAATATTTATTTTATAGACATTCTTCAATCGAATTAAGTTGGTTTAAATTTCAATAATGAGATTTATGCCACATTTCCTCAGGAAACGTTACAAAACATTTGGTTCAGTTCAGTTATGTTCTATAAATCTTCTCAGTCCATTACAATCCAGACCAGCTCCAATAATAATCCCATCATAATAATGATCCAACTCAAACTAAAGCATTTGACAGTTTGTCAAATTGTGTTTAAAATCAATGCGTTCATGACTCCATCAATTTACAATAATATTTATTGTTTAAACTTCCACAGTAAAATGGTATCTACAAAAGTTTGGTTTTATTATTTCACCAGCTGTTCATTTTATGGCTTGCAATTGCTTAATTAATTAAAATAAAAGTTCCTAACGTATTTTTAAAACAAGGGCAACTGATCAAAGTCAGGATAAAAATAGAACATTTAATGTTATCACTTCAGAGCATCTTGGAATATTTTATTTTATTGATGATTTAAATTGTGTTTGATGAAAGTCAGTCAGGATAGTTTTTTTTTTCATCCATCTTAATGAAAATCTGATTGGTGCTGACTAATTATTTACTGCATTATTTTGAAACTCCACACATACATCATTAATTTTCCTTCACCTGGTCTGTAGAGTAAAAATGACGTAATGCATTTGATCTTTTAATATAGATACATTAAGACAAGGGCAGCTGTAACTAACATTTGTTTATCTTTGTAGGACTTCATGGAGAAACACACTGACAGCCTCAGTCCTGATGGGATTTGATACAATGAAGAATCCACCAGGGGCTCATAACAACCGTCTGCTGAAACGTGGAACAGACTCTTTCCTTTTAGTCATGAAAGACTCACATGTTTTTGGGAAGTGTCTCATATAGTCTGGTGGAGGACAAATTATTTTTCAATAACTGATAGGACAGTAATTATGACATTTTTAGCAAACAGCACTGCTTAGGAGGATCGTGAAGCGTTTTCTGCTTCGTCATCTTGACTCTGCTGCACCAATTTAGCTTCAGCCTTCCATTTTGTCTGCTGCCATGCAGAAGTAGAGCAAACATCTGAAGTGAGACTCAATGCAGAGACATTTGGTGAGACATTTTTGAGTTTTGATCCAACATTACAGGAAAAGAAGATAAGTGAAGCAATTTCTAACGAGTCACACATCAGGTCTGTGAAGTTATTTGGGGGAAACCACAGATAAATTGACATTAAAGCCCCAAAGGTCGGACCTTAAAGATTCCACGAGGTGCTCTAAAATGCTTTGCAAAACATGGATGTGTTCCATACGATCCCATAAAGGAAGCTTGAGGGGGTGAAAGTCTTGTTTTTTTTATCTTCGATATCTCCTTGACTCCGTGAAGGGTTTCTGGCTACTAATTTTTGTTGTGCAACGAGGCACAATTGAAGCTTAGTCATGGTGGTTTTGGTTTATTGCATAAATACTCTCAGCAGTCCGGCTGCATTGATCTGAGACATCTTTTGTTAGCATGATATGTGGAACGTGCAGCAAATGTAATCTGTGGCACTTTTTCTGGGCTTCAGACCCAGAGCATCCAGACATGATGGGGTTGATTGTGCCATCAGGTGATGATGCACTGGACTTATTAGGTTGTCCTGCAGCTCAAAATTGGCATTGCTGGGGGACATTTATCATCTACTCTGTTATTATTATTATTAGGGTTTTAATCTCCAAATATTTGACAAGCCATGTTTTCTGTCTTTGTATCTATACGCCCCATATTTTGTTGGATGCATTTTGTACTTACAAAAGGCAGGTGAGTAAGTACTTAATGAAACGTAAAACACCTAAATGATCAAATCTGAACCAAGTTTTGATCATATATGTCAGGCTGTTTATGAATATTTCTATTAAATGCCTGAAACTTTTTTATTTTATTTTACAAAGAAAACTGAACCTATTTCTAGCCTTAACACATTTATTGTTCTGGACCCAGTTTCAGGCATTAACCTTTGATTTAACCACTAAGCATATGATGTAATCATGGCAAACACCTTCACACAGACGAATGTGGTAGTTATGCTGTTGATCACTGTTGTATTCAGCTCAAGAGATCGACCACAGGCATTTATCCATATCTTACATTTGTTTAGACTCTGTTTGGGTTTTGAAAATGGAATAAACTCTAAATGGTCTGGATAAAGTGTTTCTAAAGTGGATGTTCTGACAATGCTGAACCATTTTCACCAAATCTCTATGAGCCTTTATTTGCAAGCAAGATGTTAGCGGTCAAGCTAGCATCGCTGACCCGCTTCCACTAGCAAAATGTTTTTAATTAAAGCCTTTTCTTGACCATGTTATCTAGTTGTCGTAGTGTTGACAATTAGTAGCAAAGCACTAATTTTATCACCCCTATATTTAAGATTTAGTGTTTTATGCTGACAACGTGGCAGCTAAAACAAACAGCAGTCATCGTCGACAAGCAGCTTTTTGCCCTCCAGCAGGAAGCTGGTAACTGTCTATTAGTTAAATTTGATATTTTATAAAACTGATTCATGTAGTGTTAATTCAGGCAAATTATTTACATTATTAAGTTAGTGTGACTAAATTACTTCCTAAAGTTTATTAGGAGTTTAAATTGTTCCAAGTATTTTTAATCACTTTTGTCTTTCTTTCCTCTACTGCCCAGATCAAATTATGCAAATTAGGCAATGATGTAATCTAGCGACTTTTACGACAGCCAGTAGCTACTATTGGCAACAGTATTTGTTGACGCTGGAAGGATTTCCAGTACATACTGTCATATGAATATTTGATCTTGTGAGTCCGATGCTCCGCAGATGTAACTTCATGCAAACACTGTGCCTTGGTCTTTTTTTTTTTTTTTTACATATTTGTTAAAACTGTCACCATGTCGTGACAGTATGAGACAAATAATCTATGAAAAGATCGATCTCCTCCAGCTCCTCCCTGAACTAGTCTGAAGAAATGCTTTGCACTAAACCAAAAATGAACAATCAGAGGCAGGAGGCGGGGCCTAATGCTGTCACTCATCCTCATGAACACTGTAAAATGTGCTAATGGCGGAGAAACAACTTACCATTATAGGACAACCATTGATTTGCCCTCATCTGTGGCTATGCTATGCAGACAGGAAAAATCTGTAGCAGCAGCAGAGAGCAAGAGGGGAGGATGAGCAGATTATCTGTTACAATTTCAACAAATATGTAAAAATATTTTTTTAAACAGTTACATACTGCAGTTTTAATGTCTTTAAATGCTTTTTAATGCTGTGCAGAAACCATGATGAAACATGTTTTTTTTCTTTATGAAAACACTGCAAAAAATGAAACCAGGTTCAATAATTATTTCAAGTTATTTTTTTGTCCCGAATAGTTTCTATGGCAAACAATAACCACACAATTATGTTTGGATTTACTGCATTGTATTGAGAGCGAGGCCAGGAAAACAAAAAACTGATCAAATATTAAGAATCTATCGACACTGATGTGCGAATGCAAATGTGCAGGTTTGTGAGTGGGACTGGTTGAATGCAGCTGTCATCTGAAAAGCTTTGAGTGATCAGTGAGACAAGACAAACACTATGAACATTTAGTTCAGTCCCCAAAACCATGACTCTTTCCCTTCCACTTCACACGTCAGCACTATGTGGTTGTCTATTGCACAAAATCTCCAAAAACATTGAAGATTAAGGTAGTAATGCGTCAAAACCAGGAGTTGTAGTGTTACAGTGTACTATTCATGATTTAGCTTTACAGTAAGTTTGCATTTGAGGAGCCAGACTTGAGAATTTCAAGCGTAACAATAATTTTGACAGATTTTCTAAACCAGGGGTAGAATAATGCATAGATCAGAGGGTTTAGACAGGAATTCAAGTAGTACAACAATATAATGTAGATGCCTGATATACTATTAAATAAGCTGTCTTCGGTCAAAAGTGAGACACAAAAATACGGACAAAGGCACAGCAGAAACACAACTATAACAACCCCAAGAGTCCTGGCGGCTTTTATTTCAGATTTCTTCGGTTTTCCTGAACGCTGATGTGAGACGGCTGCAACATGAGAGCGCATGGCCCGAATCTGAGACACAGCCACCACAAAGACTGTAACATACAGAATAATGATGACAATAACAGGAAGAAGAAAAGTTAATAAGAGATCAACAATCAGTCCAGTGAGACCGACATCAAATGTACACAATCCAACACAGGAATTAAATCTGCCTGGTTGTTGCAGATCGTCCTTTAAAATCACAGTGGAATAAACAAGAGAACAAGTCCAACACACAGAAACAGACACTTGGGTTCGTTTTAGAGTGACCTTAGTGGGATAATGTAAAGGATCACAGATGGCTACGTAGCGGTCAATTGAAATGAGGACCATGTTTCCGACCGAGGAAGATGCAACAATAAAACCTAAGACGACGTACAAAACACACATGATGTTGCCAAGATACCAGCAGCCGTCTATCTTGAAAACCAGAAAGAACAGAAGGAAACCCATGATGAAATCTGAGAAAGCCAGAGACACAATTAGGACATTTGTGGAGGTGTGAAGCTGCCTGGAAAGATTAAAAACACAAAGAAATGGATTATCTTCTTATTTGAACACTAACTGTTAGCATTGCATAATTCATAATAAAATATAATCACTGTCTCTTTCTTCTGCACCATGCTTCTTTTTTAATACATCGTTTAGTTTTATATTCAAACAAATGTTTACCTGAAGTGCATGATAGCGATGATGACCAGCAAGTTCAGAATCATTGTGAGAAAAGAAATAAAAGCGAGAATAATGGAGAGAAGCAGCACGTCGGAGGGTGAATGCTTTGTTTTACTGCAGGAGGTGTTGAGGAGCTCTGGGAAGCAGAGTTCAGCTCCTTCCATCTCTGATGACTTTTCAGACCAAACTCCAGTTTATATAACCTGTTAAACTCTGTGGCACACCTTCCTGAACTCCACTCCACCAGGGGCAGCAAGGGATTTTTCTAACTTCTTCACTGTAAAAAAAAAAAAAAAAAGAGGGTTAATCTGCACATCAACATCAAATGCAGTAAAAGCTCTATGTCCAGTCAAAACGATTGTTTAGAAAATGATAATTCCACCAACTAAACAAAAAAAAAAATCTCTTTAAAAATTATAAATCAATTCCATCTGAGGGGCCACCATATTTAATATTTATATGCACCCTCTAGCTAAGGTTATATATAAAAAAAAATAAGGATCAGATACCATAACTATGCAGAAACCATTACTGTGACCCCATTCTTGTTTCTTTTGCCCATTTACCTCATCGCATTCACCCCAAAAAGCTCTGAGGATGGTCTACGCTGCACTGATAAAGGATGAGTGGTGTCATAAAATACTGTACTTCTCAATTTCCAAAATCCATATTTTTCTCTCCATTGCTCTCCCACTTCGTCTTCCTTTAAAACATAACATTTTAAACTTGGACTCTTATCAAACATACCATGATGATGTTAGTGATTTTTAAAGTTTTGAATGGGCTTCCCCACCACCATTAGGTAATTTTATTCATAAAAGGAATAATAGACTGAACACCAGAGCACAAACGAGAGGAGACTGCAGCATAACTGAGGTGCAGAACACAGATTAGCCAGAAGGTGGCGTCTATGTTTCTTAGGACAAAGGATGAAATTTGTGAATAAGTGTGAATTTGTTAACTTCTTTCTTCATTTCTTTCAATAATTTACAGTCATAACCCTTAAATGGGGATGAAATTCTTCTTTCTTCAACTGTTTGTTTCTTTCTCTCAGCTTGTTTATGCTGGTGCATCACAACTTTGGACAGTTTCTCTGAACAGGTCTATCACTATGGATATGGGATAAGAAAGGAGTGGCAGCTGATCGGAGACCAGTACCTTAAAGGTGTGCCACAGAGTTCAACAGGTTATATAAACTGGAGTTTGGTCTGAAAGTCATCAGAGATGGATGGAGCTGAACTCTGCTTCCCAGAGCTCCTCAACACCTCCTGCAGTAAACCAAACTATTCTCCCTCTCATTTGAAGTTCTTTTTTATTATTGTTGATGTTCTTTCTTTTCTCACAATGATTGTTAACTTGCTGGTCATCATTGCCATCATGCACTTCAGGTAAACATTTATTCCGGTTGTCTCTTCTCCAGCCCTCTAGGGCCGGTGTGCCGCAACCTTTGGGTGTCTCTCTGCTTCAGCACACCTGGCTCCACTTTCACCTCATTAGCAGAGCTCTGACTGCATGCATGAGGTAGTCTAACCATTTAATTCAATGTGAAGCACAAGACACATCTAAAGTTTGCAGGACATGGGTCCTTGAGGAATGCAAAACTAAATGATGAATATAAAACTAAATGGTGTCTAAAAGAAAACAATGGTTTAGAAGATAATTGTCAATGTAACACATCAGAATGAATTGCAGCTAGTCGTTTGTGTACAAATATGAAAATAATTTGTTTGTGTTTTTAATCTTTCCAGGCAGCTTCACACCTCCACAAATGTCCTAATTGTGTCTCTGGCTTTCTCAGATTTCATCATGGGTTTCCTTCTGTTCTTTCTGGTTTTCAAGATAGACGGCTGCTGGTATCTTGGCAACATCATGTGTGTTTTGTACGTCGTCTTAGGTTTTATTGTTGCATCTTCCTCGGTCGGAAACATGGTCCTCATTTCAATTGACCGCTACGTAGCCATCTGTGATCCTTTACATTATCCCACTAAGGTCACTCTAAAACGAACCCAAGTGTCTGTTTCTGTGTGTTGGACTTGTTCTCTTGTTTATTCCACTGTGATTTTAAAGGAGGATCTGCAACAACCAGGCAGATTTAATTCCTGTGTTGGAGAGTGTACATTTGAGATAGGCCTCACAGGATTTATTGTTGATCTCCTATTAACTTTTCTTCTTCCTGTTACTGTCATCATTATTCTGTATGTTACAGTCTTTGTGGTGGCCGTGTCTCAGATTCGGGCCATGCGCTCTCATGTTGCAGCCGTCTCACATCAGCGTTCAGGAAAACCGAAGAAATCTGAAATAAAAGCCGCCAGGACTCTTGGGGTTGTTATAGTTGTGTTTCTGCTGTGCCTTTGTCCGTATTTTTGTGTCTCAGTTCTGAGCCCAGAGAGTATATTCAGTAGTTTATCAGGTGCCTATCTCCTAATACTATACTATGTTAATTCCTGTCTAAACCCTCTGATCTATGCATTATTCTACCCCTGGTTTAGAAAATCTGTCAAAATTATTGTTACACTTAAAATTCTCAAGTCTGGCTCCTCAGATGCAAACTTACTGTAAAATAACTCCTTGACCTTTTGACACATTGCAACCTCAAAATGTGGGGCATTATTTTGGACTGGTAATTAAACAGAAGTTGATTCAGATCTGTGAAGTGGAAGGTAAATAATACATGGTTTTGTTGACTGGATTCAATCTCTGTTGTGCCTTTCTTTACATCATCTGCTCTAAGCACTTTGCACTAATTAATCATTCACATATATGTAACTTGTCTCATAAGCGCAGACAGATTCATACATGCAGAGATTACATATATAATGCATTTTGCTGCAGCCGCTTCTTTCTCTTTCTTCTCCTGGCAGTCCCACTGGGCTTTGGTTGCTTGTAGAGCTTTCCATTTTCTGCCAACATGACCACAATAATGATCATAAAAGATGATAATAAAGTATTTTTTAAATTCTGAGTGACATTTTCTCACACTTCCACTCACTGATACAACTTTAATACTGCTGTTATGGAAGAAAATATGAAAAGAAGACAATATGCACACCATGGAACAATATCAGCAAAACAACAGTACCTACCTCGTTTTTCCATAAAAGAAAAGCTTTTTTTAAATTGTGTCATAAATTAAGTCATAGTTTCTTTTTTATTGTACAGTTGTTATTGGAAGGGGTTCTGCTTTGGGAAGCAAAAATGTGTCACAACGTAATGACCACATGGGTTCAGATAGATTATTTATTAAAATTTGAATGTTAAAAGTTCTTTATTTAAAATACATACAAAATTCAGAAAATGTATAAAGTAAAACAGACAGTAAAACAAGGCAAATGTTATTTTTTAACAACACAATCAACTTTTGTTCCATTTTCTTACACCCTCATGGGGTCTGGAGAAATGCTGGTGCCAATGTCCTGCTCTCAACGGGCGAGAGGCGGGGAAACCCTGGACAGGTCGCAAGTCCATCACAGGGCAACACGGAGACAGACAGGACAAACAACCAGCCACACACTCACACATTTATACAGACCAATTAACCTGACAGTCATGTCTTTGTACTGAGGGAGGAAGCTGGAGTACCCAGAGAGAACCCACGCATGCACAGGGAGAACATGCAAACTCCATGCATAAAGACCCCGGGCCAGGAATCGAACCCTGGACCTTCTTGCTGCAGGGCAACAGTGTTGTATCTTTTAGTTCAGTTATTAGTTCTGTTCACTGAGTTGGCAGACAACAATAAAGCTGTGAAGGACCAGAAGAGATCCGTACATCCTGGAGAAAGCTGAAGTCCATCAGTTTTTGCAGCACGATGCTGCATGTCCTCCACAGCTCTCCCTGTATTCCAGAGCTGAAAAGTTTCGTAGTCTCAGAGATTTTGAAAAGACTTGGGGTACATACTGGTTTCAGCAGATTTTTGTTTCAAAACTGAAAACATGACACACAGCCAACTGAACTCGTCAAGCTTCTGATGTTTTATGACAGTATGAGGGTTTTTAAAGATAAATAACCGCACCACGAAGAAAATACTCTCAGAATTCAGAAAAAACAGTTTTTCTGTTCCGCTTGCCAAATAAATGAAAGTTTTCCCTTCTAGAATATGTTAAAGTGTAACTAAACCCCTTGTGAAAGCATGACCCCTCCCCTGACAAATTTTGAAAAGTTTCAGCAAAGTGGGCGGAGCCAAGAGACATCGAGAGTCTGGACTTCCTGATGACCGAAGGGGCTGCGTTGGGATGGTGGTCAGGAAGAACTAAAGCACTGTTACTTATTTATAAACCGTGTTTCTGTATTTAGCAACTGTTTTTTGTTTTTTTTTTTGGATGGGGGGGGTTTATCAAAAAACAAATCAATAACAAATCAATAACAAACAATAAATCTAGCAACTTTTTCCTGTGTTTTAGTACAGATTGAAGCTGAGAACCAGTTTTTGTAGAGAAGCGGCTCCCACTAGTTCAATTCCTTGGAATCGTTAAGCTGCTTGCTTAGTGGCAGCTTATCGGTTCCAGTAACTTGATGGAATTGCGTGCTGACCTCTGTATTTAGCTTTAGAAAATATCCAACATGGTGTCGCAGCAGAAGCACTCTAAAATATTGTTAAAATTCACAAAAAAACGATACTAGATGGTTCAAACATGCAACATGTTCAGAACTTTAATCACAATAAAAGGAGGACACATCCTCAAACAGTTGACCACACATCATGCAGCCAATTTGTACAAACATTTCATACATTGCTTAGAGCGTCGCTGCACAGTTCCACCAGGTATTTACTAATGGCTGCTGCCACTAGTCTGAAGGAGCTGAGTGGGGCAGTCATGAGGGAGGAGGCAGCAGCTTGGTTTGGGGACTGCAACTCGAAGGAGGAGCTTCATCAGGAAGGCAGCTCACCTGGAGGCAAAGCATTTTGCACCCCGGATAGTTACCATGGGAGATTAAAGGATTTCTCAAATATGTGTGTAAGAATGGGGGAATAACATTTTAACATGATAAAAAACAAAAAGAAAAAGTTGATTTTACATAATACTGCCCCCTTAAGCTTGCAAAGATATTCCAGCTGGAAATATTAAAAAATAAAAGCACTTCTCGTTTCTTACATTTATAAAAGTTTAACGTTCTTTCAAATGCTACATCCACCATGCCACGTCCTTCGTGTTGTAATTTACGCTTTAAATGTGAACTTAAAAAGAGATTATCCTAAATAAAAAACAAAGCTCAGGTGTGATGAGGTAAATCTTACACTTGGTCAATTTTCAAAATAACATAAAGCATGTTTTAGTTTTTTTTTTTGATGGTAAATTAAATGTTAAATGACTAACAAAATTATTTATTAAAATTGATAGATTGAAAGAAAATTTTGAAATGTTAACTCAGTGATTTAGGTCAGGACAAAGAGGTACAGGTTTGGACCTAGACTTGACAAAAAAAAAAAGAAATGACTTGTGAACATTTCTGGTCAGCGTGTCCCTCACACACCTGTAGACTCCAGGATCTCTTGGGAACAGACTTTCAACCCAAACTGCCTTTACAGCCGCCTCCAGCTGCTGCAGATGGAAGCAACGTTTCTCCCGCAGGGAGTCGGGAGAACAACTGGGCAAACAAGAACAACGAAATGACAGACACACACGTACACACACATGTAGACACATATCGGCCACAGGTCAGAGTCTGACTTCAGTTTTGAAGCATTCATTGCTCCACATAAATGATTTAGCCATTCCTTTGTATGTCTTCACAGCAGGCTGGCATCAGACGATCCAGACTGTAAGATCTGAAGTGTAACAATAACTCTAATAGCTTTTCTGAGCCAGGAATAGAAAAATGCATAAATCAGAGGGTTAAGGCAGGAATTAAAATAAAACAGACTCAAGACAAAGGCAGTGGATACAGTATTGAGGATAGCATCTTGATTAGTAAGTACAACACAGTAATATGGGCACAGGCACACCAGAAACACAACCACAACGACGCCTAGAGTCACAGCTGCTTTTATCTCTGATTTGTGAATCCTGACTCTGGCAGATCGCTGCTGTGTGGCAGCTGGAGCAGGAGACCTCATGGCCTGAACCTGAGCCACAACCACCACAAACACCCTCACGTACAGAACTACGATGACAGCAACAGGGATGATTAGGATAAAAATAAGATCCACAATCTGTTCATGTAAACCAGAAAGAATCACACACTCCCCTGAGCAGGAGTTAAATCTGCCTGGCTTGAAATTATTCCTCAACAACACGATGGCGTAGAGCAGACAACTGATCCAGAACAGTGAAACACACACCTGGACTCGTTTCTGGGTGATTTTGGTGCGATAATGGAGAGGATCACAAATAGCTACATAGCGGTCAACTGATATGAGCACCATGTTTCCTACGGACATAGAGGTGATAATTATGTCCAAAACATAATAAAGAATACACACAAAGTCACCAAAATACCAGCAGCCATCCGCGGTCATCATCTGAAACAAAAGAAGAAACCCCACACAGACGTCTGAGGCAGCCAGAGACAGGAGAATGAAGTTGGTGGGATTGTGGAGCTGCCTGGAAAAGTAGAGAAAACCTGTCACTTTAGCCAAGATTGTTGTAAAAGTTGTTGATCCCACAATAAATCAGCTAAAACCACAACAAACCCCAAAGCGTTAATATTACACACAGTCCCCAATATTTGATTTTCCTATGTGAACTGATTATGCTCTTAGTTGTTTTAATATAAATAATGTTTTTTCTTTTCCCTTTCACAGTTTTCTACATTTAAGCTGGTAAAGTCAAATGTCACCTGAAATGAGAGATGGAAATGATAACCAGCAGATTCAGGGCTACAGTGATGAGAGAAATGAAGCACAACAGAAGGGAAATGAGCAAAGTTTCAGAGCGAGACTGTTTTAGCTTTTTGCAGGAAGAGTTGAGAAGTTTTGGAAAGCAGAGTTCCTCTTCTTCCATCACGAGAAAAGAAACATCAGCGAAGCTCTGAGAGCTTCGGCTCAAATACTCATGTTTTAACCGGCACTTTAAGCCACACCTCCTTTGTGTTTTTTTTTCTCTTCCCTAATGTATGTGAATTAAAGCATCTCATAATTTTTTTTTTTAAATATATATTTTTAAAAGTATAATTACTTGAAGCCTTTCTGATTTACTGACATTTCTATTAATTACTAATGTCTGAGGTTGTGGACAATGTTTTTGGTTCTGGTAAACTTGACTAAACTGTTTGTGAACTTATTAATAAACAAACATATAATGTCTATTATAATATATTAATGGAAAGTGAAATGATGTAGCTTTCGTCCAACCACACAGATCTGGATGCAGCTGCATTCAAAATGAGGCAAGAAAACCAGCAACTTTACACGTTACTCTTTATTATTTATGTTATTCCCTCAGAAATGGTATAACTGAAGGATGGAAAAGTCAAACTTCTGTGCTTTTGTTGAACATTTAACTCCATAATGAAATATCTTTTTTCTCAGTGCCTTATCTGCTAGCCTGGATCCAAAACCATGCCAGCATAGCAACACTGACACATTCAATGTTTCTTTTTTTTTCTTCCTTTGTTTTATC